AGGAGGGTTGTGTCATCTGCATAACGCAGGTTGTTGACGATTCTTCCACCAATCCTGATGCCACATTCCTCCTTGTACAGCCCATCGTTCGGATGATCTGTTCTGCATACAGATTGAAAAGGTATGGAGACAGAATACATCCCTGAGGACCCCCTTCTTGATTTTGAACCATGTATTGTCTTCATCAAGAACTGCAGCCTTCAATATAAACTGAAGCTCAACATCAAGAAAACATAGATTCTCACCACCAGCTGAATTGGCAATGTAATGACAGAAAACAAAGAGACTGAGATTGTTAATAGCTTCAGTTTGCTTGGCTCCACAATTAAAACTCTTGGTACCAGCAGTCAGGAAATCAAAAGACAAATTGCATTGGGAAAGTCTGCTATCAGGGACCTCTCCAGAGTATTAATGAGCAACGATGTCAATCAAGCAAGTAAGATGCACCTGATTCAGGCCATGGTCTTTGCAATTATGTGCTATGCATCAGAAAGCTGGACAATGACTAGGGATAATAGAAAGATAAGTGATGCCTTTGAGCTGTGGTGCTGGAGAAGAGTATTGAATATACCATGGACTGCTAGGAGAACAGATTTGTCCTTGAGCAGGTGAAACCAGATTGCTCCTTGAAAGCAAGGATTCTGAAGCTCCATCTCACATTCTTTGACCATGTTTCAAGGAAGGAAAAATCCTTGTGGACACCATGCTTGGGAGGGTAGAGGAACAGCACAAGAGAGGAAAACCCTGGAAAAGATGGTCTGGAGTAATAGGGACAGATGTGTCAGAGAGAGTAAGGTTGGCTTAGAATAGAGCAGGGTTCAGAGCTGTTGTACACAGGGTCGCTATGAGCTGCAGGCGACTTGATGGCACATAACAACAGCAATCTGATATACAATAAGCCCCCGCAAAAAATGAAAGGCTGGTGGAATTCAGAGAAGGGAGAGGAATGTAAGGAATAGAGATGAAAAACACATACCATGAACTCTTCATCCATTTTATTCAATGTTAATTCAGCATCATCTTCTGGAACAGTTTCTTCATCTAGTTCTTCTACTGGGTACGCTGGCCTAAAATAATAAAGCTTATTATGAGATGACAGTTACAATATCACAGGACACACAGTATAATGTGAACATTAAAGATCTTTTCCACATCACATCTTAGCCACTTTTTTTTTGTACCACAAGCCTATAACCACTGTTAACTATTTCATGGATACTCCATGAAGCTTTTTTATGTAAAGAAGTCAAAACATTTCTCTCTAAACTTTAAAAACAAAAGTACACAAATAGGATAATGCCGCTCACATAGTTATACCACTTATTTTCTTCACTTATCAGTATATATGATAGTATATATGCATCTTTAGGAAGCTCTGGTGGCCTAGTGGTAAGAAGCTATGCTGCAATCCCCAGGGCACATGGCTCGAGGTTACCAGCTGCTCCACAGGAGAAGGATGGGCAATCTCCTCCCATAGGATTAACTTCCTCTTGAAAACCCACTGGAAGGTCAGCTATGGTTTGGTTCTGACTTGATGGTAAACAACATGTGCATTTTTCTCATTTTTTTAAATGCCAGTACTATATTCCATTGATCACAGAACCAATGATGTTTCTGAGTGATGCAAATAGTTAAATGCTTGACTACTAATAAAAGCATTCTCAATTAAAACCATTTACAGTTGCCTTGGAAAAGCTTCTAAAAGGTAAAAGCCTTGAAAACCTTATGGGAAAGTTCTACTCCACATACAAATAGGATCACTGTGAGTCAGAACTATTTTGATGGCAACCGACAACAGTAGTGCCCTAATTAATTAAATTGGTAGTCTGAGTGAACAAATGCTGATTTTTTTTTCTATTTGTTTTATTGTTGTTAGATAATGCTGCAAAGATCATCCTTGCACATGTATCTTTATAAATAAAATTTAGAATAAACACAAGTGAAATGACTGGGTCAATAGCTTTGTGCAATCTACTTTGTTTTATTGCACTCTTGCTTTATTGTACTTCACAGAGTCTGCAATTTTTACCAATTGAAGGTTTATCATAACCTAAGCTTGAGCTGGTCTATTTAGAGGCACCATTCTTCCAACGGCATATGTTCACTTCATGGCTGTGCCACATTTTTCCTACTTCTTACAATATTTCAAAATTTCTCATAATGCTATTGTACTCTTAATAGACTTCAGCAAACATAAACATAACTTTTATATGCATAGAGTTAAAAAAATTCATGTGAATCACTTTATTGTGCTATCAGTCCAAACTCATAATACCTCGGATGTATGCCTGCATATATTATTATTTAGCTAAATATTGTTAAAATATCACCCTAATTTACACTTTGAACAACAGCACTTAATTTCCATACGTTCACCAATACAGGGTACAAACATGAATTTTTGCCAATCATTTTGCATTTCTTTCACATGAAAGCAGCTAAGTAACTTTTCATTTTAACTGGTATTTTGTGCTTCATTTTTCAGTTAAATATCTTTATGTCCTGTTGTTGTTTTACTTTTCTGTGTACTAAGAAAATGAATACTTTGTCTAATTTGTGTTAATATTTTTCCATTAGTATCAAACAGATGTTGTTGTTGTTGTTAAGTGCCATAGAGTCGGAGGCGACTCATAGCAACCCTTTGCACGAAAGACCTGGGCACCGGTCTAACTTTCATCCTTTCTACAGGTTCATAGGGTTTCCAGAGGCAAGCTATTATAGAGATAAAACAGCTAGAGTGTTCCTTGGCGTTAAGAATGGTGAAGCTTCATACCACATATTTTGGGCATGTTGCTACAAGAGACTATTCCTTGGAAAGGGATATCATGCTTAGAAAGGTACAGGGTCAGTGAAAGATAGGAAGACATCGAATGAGATGGACTGACACAGTGACTGCAGCAATGAGCTTAAGTATGTCAGAGATGATGAGGTTGACACAGGATAAGGTTCAGATCTGTTGTTCACAGGATCTCTATGCATGATACTCAACTTGAGGGCATCTAACAACAACAATTAATTATCCTAGTAAATAACACATGGCTATTCAAAATATTTAATTCTTAGAGAAACTTGATAATTTTTATTCTGTGGACTCTAAAATCACGTAACAAGGCAGTCTCTCAGATAAGCATTCTAGTCCTTAGTGTTTTTATAGCTTCATTTTTGACATCTACATCTTTGATAATTATGAATTGATACACGTAAGATTAACTCCAGCTATATTCTTATTTCTAAAATCTAAGTAGTAGTTTCAACACTATCTGTTGAACAAACTACTATTTCTCTATTCACAGTCTTACTCTCCAATACTTAAAACACCTAGATATATTTTAGTTTATGTCTTGAAACCTGTTTTTAAAATCCATTACTCAACAAAATATAAAATCAACATTTATTATTAAGAAAGGAAAATAATGCAAATAAAATTAATCTAATTAATAAGAGCTCAAAAGCAATGTTCTTTTGGGCTTTGTTTTGTTCTTTTTAGATATATAAAATAAGCATCTATAAATCTGAAACTTCTTATTAGAGGATGAGGAGTTGTGATGCCAAGCCAAAGACAAGCAATTCAAATCTATCAGCTCCTCATTAGAAAGATGGGCAATCTCCTCTTGTGTGATTTACAGCTTCTAAAAACTCACTGGAGAATCAGGTATGGATTGGTTCAGACTCAAAGGCAATGAGTGAGAGTACTTTAATTGATGGTTAGTGCTTTTTAAATGTCCCTCCCCTTTTCTTTCTTCCTTATGAATTATTGTGGTTATCTACCATCAAGTAGATCCCAAACTCTTGTAGATCCAATGCTTGGTCCCGTGACATCTCCATGACTACAGTGGAGCATGCCATTGTGAATCAAATGGTTTTAAGTGACTAATTTGTGGAAATAGATTGCTAGGCCCTTCTTCGTTGGTGAAACTTGTTCTGCATCACAGAAATACTCAACCCTCCACTTACCAATGAACATAAAATACATTCAGCTGGTAATCAAAACCATGTCTTTATATGAAAGCAAGAATTCTACCACACTGCCTTATAAGCTAGCCAAAAAAACTCCAAAACAAAGCCCACCACTGTGGAATTGATTCCAACTCATAACAACTCTCCATTAATAATGGTTAGCAGTTCAAATCAAACAGTTGGCTCTGAGAAAGACAATCTTCTTCCATAAAGATTTACAGACTTGGAAATTCAAAGAAGGGTCAGTGAGTCAAAATCAAGTCAATAGCAGTGGGTTTGGGTTTTGGGGTTTGGGGTGTTCTTTTGGTAAATATTTGCAGGAGGAGACTGCTCATCTCTCGCCTGAAAAGCAGCTATAGCCCTTGAACCACTGACCTTTCTGGTTAGCAGCCTTGTTTGTTAAATCTAGTCACTCTGAAGAAGCCCTGGTTGGCACAGTGTGAAACATGTTAAGCTGCTAATCAAAAGGTGGGAAGTTTGAATACATCATCCACTCTGCAGTAGGAAGATGGGCAGTATCCTCCTGAAAGGATTTAGTCTTAGAAACCCAATGGGGGGTTGCCATGAGTTGGAACCAACTGTGAATGGCAGTATGATTGGCTTTATCTTTTTTTAAATACATGGTCAGTAGATAAGACATTCCTGGAAACAAAGAATGTGCAAAACTGAACAGCGATTAGGACAATAATAGCTTCATCTGAATTTAGAATAGTTTGGACTATAGCTAGTAACAGAGAGCTCCTGTGTCCTAGTGGTATGGAGCTGCACTACAATCCTAAAAGCACATGGTTTGTATTTGGCAGCTGATCCATGTGAGAAGGATGGGCAGTCTCCTCCCTAGCAATTTACTACCTCTGAAAACCGCACTGGAGGGTCTGCTATAGCTGGTTTCATTCAGCCACACACAACAACAACGTACTTAGTAAGAGTTAGCTTTGCTGGCTTAGTGGTAAGGAATTGCATTGCTAACCCAAAGGCAAACAGTTTGAATCCACCAGCTGCTCAGCAGGATAAAGATGAGTAATCTGCTTCAGTGTGATTAATTGCCTTTGAAAACCCACTGGTGAGTCAGCTACGGGTCAGTTTCAACTCAATGGTATACAACATCAACAGTAATAAAATAAAAATATCAAATAGAATAACACATCTCATTGTTGTTGTGTACCATTAAGCTGGAACCAACCCACAGGCTGATCCTCTGGTGGGTTTTCAGAGGTAATTAATCCTATAGGAGGAGAATGCCCATCTTTCTCCCATGGAGCAGTTGGTAGATTTGAACCTCATGCCTTCAGGACTGCAGTGCAGCTTCTTACAGCTAGGCCAGCAGAGCTCTTTTCGGAAATCTAATAAAGAAGTTCTTTGAATTAAATGATCATACTTTATATAAAAATGCCATTTTGGTTTTTAGTTCAAAGCTATTTTATTTCAAATAAAATTAATTTTATATAATTCAATCTGATGAGAATCTAAGTCAAGGAAGTTTTTTAAAGTCCTTATTCAAAAGGAATAGATTATACACCCAAAAGAACGTAACTGAAAACATGTTAGATTATTAAGAGAGAATAATATACACATTTTGAGGCAGAGGATCATATGATCTACTATGCTGGAGACAAAAAGATGAGGGGTTGGTTGCTTTCATAGTTAAAAAGTCATTTCTAGATGCATCGTGAAATACAATGTTGTAAGCAACAGAATAATATCCATATGCGTACAAGAAAGTAAATACCACAGTCATTCAAATATATGCACCAACAATCAGAGCCAAAGAGGAGGAAATAGAAGATTTCTACAAACTTTTACAGTCAGAGATTGATCAACCATGCAATCAAAATGCATTAATAATAACAGGTGACTGGATGAAAAAGTTGGGAACAGAAAAGAAGGATCAGTAGTTGGAAAACATGTTCTTGGTGACAGAAATGACACTGTAGATAGAATGACAGAATTTTGCACAATCAATGACTTACTCATTGTAAATATATTTTATAAGAAACATAAACACAGGCTATACACATGGATTTCACCTGATGATATGCACAGGAATCAGATTGATTAAATCTGTGGAAAGAATCACTGGAGAATCTCAGTAACAGCTGTGAAAACTAAGTCAGGTAATGATTGTAGAACAGACCACCAATTACTCATATGCAAGTTCAAGCTGAAGCTGAGGAAAATTAAATCAAGTACACAGGAAACAAAATTTGACCTTGAATCTATCCCATATGAATTCAAAACCATCTCAGGAACAGGTATGACGTCTTGGACATTAATGAGCAAAGACTGGATGAGCTGTGGGAGAATATCAAGAATATCCTACAGGAAAAATACAAAAGGTCATTATAAAGACAGAGGAGTAAAAAAAGACCAAGATCGATGTCAGGAGAAACCCTAAATATTGCATTGGTGCACCGAGAAGCCAAAACAAAGGGAAGAAATCAAGATATTAAGGAGTTAAACAGAAGATTCCAGAGGGCAGTGCAGGAAGACAAAATGTGCAAAGAGCTGGAGTCGGAAAATCAAAAGTGCAGAACTCGTTCAGAAAGCTGAAGGAACTGAAGAACAAAGGAAAAACCTCAAATTGCAATACTTAAGGATGCTTTGGGCATAATATTAAACGATCCAGGAAGTATTAAACAAAGATGGAAAGAGTACACAGAGTCATTGTACCAAAAGGAATTGCTGGACACAGAAGAATTTCATGAATCAATGTATGAACAAGAGCCTGTGGTTATGAAGGAAGACGTTCAAGCTGCTCTGAAAGAATTGGCAAAAAGCAAGGTTGCAGGAATTGATGGCATACCGATTGACATATTTCAACAAACAGATGCAGCTCAGGATGTGCTCACCCAGTTGTGTCCAGAAATCTGGAGATCAATCACCTGGCCAACTGACTGGAAGAGATCTATATTTGTTCCCATTCCAAAGAAAGGTGATTTGAAAGAATGTGTAAATTATCAAACAATATCATTAATACCACATGCAAGCAAGATTCTGCTGAAAATTATCCAAAAACGACTGGAAGAGCCCATCAACAACTGCCTGAAGTGCAGGCTAGTTTTAGAAGAGACCATGGTACTAGGGATACTGCAGCTACTGGCAGATGGATCTTGGCTGAAAGCAGAGAGTACCAGAAGAATGTCTATCTGTATTTCATTGACTATGTAAAGGCATTTGACTGTGGATCACAACAGATTGTGGCTGACTTTGAGAAGAATGGGAATCCCAGAACACTTGATTGTGCTTACGTGAAACCTATACTTCGACCAGGAGGCAGTCGTAGCAACAGAGCAAGGAAACACTGCATGGTTCAAAATTGGGAAGAATGTGCATCAAGGATGTGACCTATCTCCATATCTTTTCAATCAATATGCAGAACAGATTATCTGAGAGGCTGGGCTCTATGAGGAGAAGTGTAGCATCAGGATTGGAGGTAGACTCATCAACCATCTGCATTATGCAGATGACCCTGCTTGCTGAAACTAAGGAGGACCTGAAGCGCTTGCTGCAGAAGGTCAAGGACTGCAGCCTTCAATATGGATTTAAGCTCAACATCAAGAAAACAAAGATTCTCACCACTGGGCCAACTGACAGCATCATGATTGAGATTGTTGACAGTTTATTTGGCTTTACAATCAACAGTCTTGTTACCAGCAGCCAGGAAATTTAAAGACAAGTGCATTGGGAAAGTCTGCTGTCAGAGAACTCTCCAAAGTACTGAAGAGCGATGATATCAGTCTGGAGACTAAGGTGCATCTGATATAGGCCATGGTCTTTGCAATTACTAGGTATGCATTAGAGAACGGGACAATGACTAGGGATGATTGGAGGATAGTTGATGCCTTTGAGCTGCGGTGTTGGAGAAGACTACTGAATATACCATGGACTTCTAGAAAAACAAGTTCGTCCTGGAGAGGGTGAAGTCAGCTTGCTCCCTGGAGGCAAGAAGTATGCTTCGTCTGATATATTTTGGACATGCTTCAAGGTGGGATAAGTCCTTGGATAGGGATGTCATGCTTGGAAGGGTGGAAGGACAGCACAAGAGAGGAAGACCCTCAGTGAGATGGATTGGTTCAGTGACTGGGGTAATGGGGATAGCTGTGTTTGAGACAATAAGATTGGCAAGGGATAGAGCAGGGTTTAGGGCTTTTGTATATAGGGTCATTACAAGCCATAGGTGACTCGATGACACATAACAACAACAACAATACACACATTTTTCTACAGAAGTTAGTTCTAATCCAAAAATCCTTGTTTGCTAATGTTTCCTAAAATACCTTCCACATCCTCTACCCTATCAATCCTCAAAGGGCCACAATAACATATTTTCTAATTTTAGGTGTTTTTAAATCTTATGAAATTTAGACAGTTTTGAATATTTCTTTAGTCATTGCAGATCAATAACACATCAAACACTATGTTATCATAGAGTACACATGATAATTTCATGAGTTGTAGCAAAAAAGTCAAACCAATAAATTATTTTAGAAGAAACTCAACATAAAAATAAAGTGTAAGCAAGGAAAAGATCAAGTTACAAGCAAGGAACAATGTCTAGGGGAGTATTAGGTGGCTTTTTCCAGTTTTATGCTTGACCAATTAATATAAGTAATAGAGATAACTCCATTCAAACAAGTAACTGCCATTTTCCTTAAGTATGCAGCTATGTTTTCCCCTTATATAAAGAATATGTCTGTGTATAAAAATAACACACAGACTTTTAACTTTTTCTTAAATTGATACAATACTACATATTAGTGCAGAGAAGGAGTACAACTGTATCTAACTATTACTTGAAGATGCCTGGCATTCCAATTTTGCCTCTATTGATTTTTCTTAATTACTTATGGCATATTTTCTGTGTAACAATCAAGAGGAACTAATTCTTATCAATTCAATTAAATCAACTCTGAACTGTTAAAAGCAACAGCTATGGAGATATAATTACAAATACAATGGTAAGCAATTTTTACCTTTTCCAGGTGAAACCAATATATTTCAATGCTTCCTCAGCCAAACAATCAAGAACATAGCACACATGCTCTCCATAACCAGACTTTAATTTTGACGGAGGAAAATCTGCAGCTCTTCCCTGAAAACAAAAGATAAACAGGGTATTTATTATTTGCTATTTGTAATCAAAATGTCAATGTATTTTAAGCAATTCACGTCCAAAGGGATTTTTCACTTCTGAATTTCTCAAGTATAAATTAAAATTACTGTAATTATATTGCACTGTTGAAGTTCACCTTTTTTATTTTCTTTTTTAAAATCTATTGTTATGCTGAAATAAAACACTAAAGGGAAATAAGGCAAAAATATATTTTGCTGTCAAAAAGTATTAAATTAAAAGGCAATAGCACCATAGCAGCAGAACAAATAATTGATCCTGTTGGGGTAAAGAGTAGGGTGGTTTCATAGGGCAACCACATGATAGACGGAGAGACTTACTTGCAAAAAGTAATAACGTGTGTCAAAAATGTCTCACTGCCTGGCCCGAGGACAAGTCAAAATGAAACGTACAACTACTGAGCTGCTCTATTAAATCAAGGTCCCCTTTCAAAAGGGCTTCAGCTTTTTAGTTGATCATTTTTACAAAGAACAATGAAGCACCCATAAACTTACCTCTAAAGTATGTCAAGATTACGGACAATATTATTACTTTTGGCTATCAAAAGTGCACATTAAACATTTTGTGGAAGTGGCCCTAATACTTTAATACCAAACATTCTATAGTTTTATTTGAAAATAAATTCAGCTACAATTTCAGAAAACATATTCAGATAAACATTCACAAAATTCATGGAAAAGTAAGAATTGATATTTTTGTAATTAGCAAAACTAATTTTTGAGACATTTTTGAGTTTGACATATGTAGAAAAGGTACTTACAAATGATCGAAGCTCTGATAATATGTTAGATATTGTTGCATTAGGATCATCATATTCTTGAGGCTGCTCAAAGGGACGTCCTGCTTTGTTAATCAGCCACGCAGCAAAAATGCAAAACATGTAGAACTGTTCACCAGGATTGGTAGGCAGTGCAAAATAGTGTCTGTTTCAAAACAAAGTGGGGGAGGATGTGAAATAATGCAAGTTAGTCTGCAGTAACTACAGGGGTTCAATCCAACTGCCGAAGGATTCCCCCCCCTTTAGTGGCTTTAACATTAAAAGACATGTACTTTGGCTTCTGAAGTGTCCAATAATCTACAGCATCCACATTAAAGTTTTAACTCAACAGGTTTTGACAATTATTGGCATAAAATATTAGTTCAAAATCTTCAAATATTAACAATGTCATGAATGATAGAAAGTAGATTATTTAGAATGTTTACAAAAATAATTTTCAAGTGACAAGAATAATTAATAAGAATGCATCTCCTGAAAATGGTACCTTGAAATTAAGAGACTACTGGGTAAAATAGATCTTAAAAATAATTTGTTATACATTTTTGCACTTTTTAAAATGTTACTGCTTTCTTTAGATTTTGCTTTTATCCTACAAGGTATGCTAATGAGTTGTTTCCAACTTAGAAGCATATTTAAATAATCTGAGGTAAGAAAATAATAATAATAATAATAATAATGATGATGCCTATTCAAACACTGCCTTATCCCTCATCAAAACATTAAGTCATAACTTCTGGTAGTGGAATCTCAGTATTTTTAAAGTACCCTAGATAGTTCTAAGGTGCAGAGGGGATTATAAAGCACATGCCCACTTAAACCATTATTAGTATTTGCTGAATCTATTAGACCACTGCAAACAGTCCTGTGGCCGCCAATATTATTTATACTTCACTGTAGTATGAATAAAGAATTGGTGATTCAGTGGCTAAAGTTGCTCAGCTGCTAATCAGAAGGAAGGTGGTTTAAATCTACTAGCCACACATTCAGGAAAAAGAATACAGTGGGTGTCTGCAAGCAGTACAGCTTTGGAAACCCTATGAGCCAATTCTACACTGTTGGACAGATGTGACATAGTCAGAATGGACTCAATGACAGTGAGTATTTTGGGAATGAAACATGCTAGCAACACTACTCAAGTCAGTTTGATAAAAAAACCCTTAACTTGCTTTTTTATTTGGAACTATTACTATTATGCAAATATCACCATTATGTTTACATCAGAGCTGTTACCATTATTTATTGTTAAGAATCAGCAATCTATTACTTCATGTTTCCCAATTTTTTTTCTGAAAGGTAATTTTAAATGCTCTGCATAATAACAAAATTGAAAAGGGAAAAGAGGGCATGAAACTCTTTCAGGTATGTTTAAAACCCTTCCAAAGCACCCACCCACCAACAACTCATCTTTTCCTTATAGGTTCCAAACTTTCAACTGCAAGAGGAATAGATATTGACAGACTTAGGTGAGCTGTCCTCAAACTTCAGTGTAGCTCACAATAATCTGGAAGTCTGGATAAAACATAAAGTACTAGATGCCACCCTCAGAATTTCTGATGTAGTGGGTGTGGGACAGAATCTTCAGAAAGTGCATTTCTAGTAAATTCCCTGGTGATGTTGCTGGTCTGGTGGACACACTTTGAAAGCCCCTGAATTAGGATATCTCCACTCAGATCATAGTACATAACCAGCTGAGTTCCTGAAGGAAGAATATTGGGTTGACAGCAACATAAATCTGTCCTTTTAAAAAATATATTTGGAATATATTTTTATTTTAAAAAATATATTTGGAATTGAGAAAATGTAAACTGTCTATACTACCCTGATTAAATTATTATAAGCAGCAACTCCTAATTCCACAACCTTTATCATATATCTAATAGCACTACTCATTTTGTTCCCTCTTTTCTGCCATTATGAACTGACTTAGCAGTATGGACTGCTTACATAAAGTCTATATGGCATTAAAATTATAGGAAGAGAGCAGCTGAATGAGCTTAAGACTGTCAAGGGGAATTACATGAGTTTAGCTACAGACATTTAAAATAAAGATTCAACAAAAGTACAACAAATAAGTATAAAAGTGAAAGTAAACATATAAAATGTACTTGCCTGGTTATATTGACTGGAGGATAATGGATTCTAGTCTATTAAACTCAGCAAGTCATGCTACTACTGTCTTCAGGATATTATTAACTTTTTTCCTACCAAAATTAGGGGTTGCTTAGCTTCAAAGAGAAGGGGCCAACATCAATAGTTCCCATTTGTCTTTTTCACTTCTCAGTTTCTTTAATGGTTACCATAAAGTAGAACCTTTTAAAACCATAGCAATCAGTTAATAAGTTTACTAACTGCCTGCAAAGTCTTCAGAAACATGACAGGTAGTTATCCTGGGAGGCTCTCACAAGAGAACCAGGGATGGAACTAAATTATAACATTCGTTTCTGAAGACGAGACTATGCGTGATTTTAGCCGTTCTCTACCTATTTTCTTGCGTTTTTCGTAGTTAGCTCTCTACTGTGATGTATTTATTACTTTTATAGTCATATGATCCAGTTTGTGTTTTGTGGATGTGTTTATAGCTGTAAAGAACAAAGAGGCCATCCTGTTGTTAACAAAAGTTGTTAACTTTCTACAAAACTGCCAACTTTGAGGCCTCTGTTACCAAGTTTGGGGTGAGGCGCCCTGTTAGGGAGATGGCCAAGGGCTTGCTCAGCCACCGTCGGCGGTGCCCAGCAGGGTGGTGGAAGGGATCTCCCCGGGGTGCTCGGGACCCACCTGGACGGGGGCTTCAGGTTGTTTTTCCGGAGGAGTTCCTCCTCATAGCGGAGCAACTTCAGCTTCTCCACCAGGTCCTCCATCACCACGAACATGTGGTAGGCCGCGCCAGGCCCTCGCTCCACGACTCCTTCTCCTGCCCCTTCGCCGCGAGACCGAGGCACCCCATCATCCAGACCTGACGGCGTGACCACTGCAGCGCTGGCCGACATCGAAGGACAAACAGAAAGATCCTGGCGGGGGCTTCAGCTCACAAAACTCGCGGGCCTCTGTTGCCCGCGCTGCAGCAGCGAGGACCACCGCCACTGGTTACTAAGCGACCGCCAGGCAACCTGTCACCAGGGAAACTAGGCTCCGCCCCTTCCCGAGATTTCAAGGCTCTTCTAAATTCCCTCCAACGAGGGCTGGCCTGACTGATGACGTAACCATGGACCCGCCTCCTCCACATGACCCTTGGAGAGGGCTGTACGGAGCAGCCCCGCCCTTAGGAGGCGTGGCCTACAACCACGTGGGGCGGGGCTTAAAGGCACAGGCAGGGCTATCAGCTTTTCTGCTCTGCTACTGAAGAGTCCTTCAGGTTATGGTATCTTTGCTAAGGTCCTCTGAGCAGCCATGTGAACCTGTTGCTGACAGTTAAGATTTAAAGGGAAATGAAGATAATCCAATATTGAAAACTATGCCCACTGTTAAATATTTTTCTTTTTCTCCTCAATATTAGAAGTTTTCATAGTTTTATTTTTTTTTTTCATAGTTTTAAAGACAGTTAATACTGTAGGTTTTTATTTTATCTCAGAATTTTTCCAGCAGAGAAGCTTCCTTGGAAAAAAATTCAAGTGCGACCTCATTAGACAAGGGTTTATTTGAGCTCTGGTGGCCTACTGAGTAAGGAATTACGCTGCCAGCCTAAAGGTAGGTACCGAAAATCAGTCTAAATCCTCCAGCTGCCTCTCAGAAAAATGGGCACTCTCCTCCCCTGAGATTTACAGCCTCTGAAAATCCACTGGAGGTTCAGCTGTGATTCTATTGACACTCAACAATGGCAATGAGTTGAATTGTTCCATGATGTTAATCTCTACAAAGTTCTAAAACCCTGTGAAAGCTGCTACTGGGAATTGGCCTAAAACAAACAAATAGCGGATACAACTGACCATTTTGTGGACCAACTTTGTAACTCTCAAAAGACTTATGTATCAAGCAAAATTCCGAACAGCTAACTCAAAACTCAAGTAATGATAGCTGCCAGGAAGTTTCTCAACAGAAAATGAAGGAAGTTGATCATGTTTAATGTGAAGGATCTTGGATCTATCTGCTTCCCAAGATGTAAATTCTTTTTAGATAACATCGTTTCCACGCTATGAATCATTTGTCAGCTTTTAAAAAATAAAAACAAGTCGAAAAGTAGGTTTAGCTTTACTGCACTGCTAAATCGGGCTTGTGGTTCCATAACTACATAGCTATAGTGATTCTTCTCAAACCTCACCACGTGTTAGGAAGTATGGTGTGTTGTGGTACAATCATATAACTTTCTGTAAAAGATAAATGTAAACGTCTTTTAGGATGAAAAAGAAACTAATAAAAACTAACATGACTCAGAGTGTTTGGTGGCTTTTAAAATTACTCTGAAAAAGGTATTAGAAGTCAAAAGGTAAAGTGAATACATTGAGAAAAAAGGGTGTTTACACGCTGTAGACTATACATAATTGAAAAGGCCATGGCCCAAATCAGGTGTCTTCAAAATGACATTACTGCTCTTCAGTATTTTGGAGAGATCTCTGACAGTAGACCTGCTCAAACCAGTAAGTCTCCTTATCTTCTGACTCTTGATACCAAGGGTGTTGATTTTGAATCCAAGCAAGGCAAGCTCATTAGCACTTTCAATCCTTTTATTATTCAATCCTCCATCTATTATGATGTTGCCCACTGGCCCAGAGGTAAGGATCTCCGTCTTCTTAATGTTAAGTTGCAATCCATATTGAAGGCTGTAGCTTTTGATCTTCAACAACAAGTATTTAGTGGTAAAGAACTGCTCTGTCAATCCAAAGCTATGCAGTTCAAATCTACTAGCTGCTCTAAGAGAGAAAGGTAGAAAACCTATTTTATTTATTGCCTTTGAAAACTCTCTGGAAGGTCAGCTATGGGTCGGTTCCAACTCAGCAGTGCACAACAATAATAACAACACACAATATTATTGTTGCTTAATGCCGTCGAGTCATAGACGACTCATAGCGACCCTATGAACGAACAGCCTGAGCCCTGTTCGTACATAGAGTTTCCAGAGGCAAGCCATTATAGCATAACAAATAATATACCATATAGGGAGCCCTGGGGGCTGTGCTACCAACTCAAAGGCACACAGCTCAAACCTACCAGCTGCTGCTCCACAGGAGAAAGATTGGAAATCTCTCATTTGATTGACTGCTTCTGAAAACCCATTGGAGGTTTAACCATTAGGTTTAACAATACAATACTGTAAATGTGAAATACTCAAGTATTGCCCTTTGACTCATGCTGTTGATTTTGTTGTGACATACCTTCAAGTCTGAACCAACTCAGCATTGTTGTTAGGGGACATCAACTCAGCCATGACACACACAACCCTCTGAAAAACCTTGATCTATTCTGCAACTTTCAGAATGCACTATGCTCAAATCCATATTGCAGTCAATGTGTCATGCAATCTTGTTGCACATCTTCTTTATTTTTACTGCCTCTCTGCTTTTCCCAGCGTGATTTCTTTTTCTAAGGACTGATGCCTCCTGTTACCATACCCAAGAGAATACAGTCAGATGAAATTTAGCCATACTTACCTTACTTGCTGAAAATGAGGCAGACTTGAAGCACTTATTACAGAAGTTCAAGGACTGCAGCCTTCAGTATGATTTGCATCTCAATATCAGAAAAACAGTTTCTTACCGCTGGACCGAAAGGCAGTGTCATGATGGATGGAGAAGAATCAGAAACTGTCAATAAACAGCTTCATCTTGCTTGGATCCACAATTAACACCCTTGGTACCAGCAGTCAGGAAATAAGAAGACACACCGCACTGGGAAAATTTGCAGTTAGGGACCTTTACAAATTATTGAGGAATAGTGATGTCAGTTTTAAGACTAAGGTGCATCTGATTCAGGCAATCATCTTTCCAATTACTTGTTATGCACCTGAGAGTTGGATAATAAGAATGACAGGAAAAGAATTGATGTCTTTGAGCTGTGGTGTTAGAGAAGAGCACTGAACATCCCATGAATAACCAAAAGAAAAAACAAGTATGCTTTGGAGAGGGTGCAGCCAGCGTGCTTTTTGGAGGCAAGAATGATGAGGGTATGCCTCACATACTTTCGACATGTGCTAGGAGATGATATTCTTTGGAGAAGGACATGTTGCTAAGAGGGGTGGAGGATTGACAAAGGAGAGGAAGAGCCTCAACTAGGTGGATTGACATGGTGACTGCTGCAATGGGCTGTGTATGTCAGGAAGTGTGAGGATGGTGCAGGATAGAACAGGATTCAGAGCTTTTGTTCAGAGGGTTGCTATGAGTCATACTCAACAGTACCTAACAACAACTAACAACACTTCTAAGGTGGAACCTAATTGTACCTTCTCCAAAACAGATATGATTGTTCTTTTGCCAGTCCATGGTGTGTTCAATATTATTTGCCTTTGCAATTTAAAGGTTTAAATTACTTTATTCTTCTTTATTTCTTGTTCAAGTACCACACGCATATGAAGCAATTGAAAATAACGTAGCTTGGGTCAGGCTTACCTTGATCTTTACACTGGAGGCTTTAATATTTAGCACTTCAAAGAAAACCTTGAAAGCAGATTTGCCCAATTCATTATGTTTTTGTCTGAAGGCTGTTTCCATGGGTGTTGATTGTGAATGCAAATAAAACAAAATACTTGACTCCTTCAATTCTTTATCCATCTTTCATGATGTTTCTTTTAAATTCAACTGTGAGGATTTGGTATTTTTCTGATGTTGAGAGGCAATGCATATTGAATGTAGGCTATAGTTATTGATCTTCTTCAGTAAGTGCTTTAGTATTTTTCATTTTCTACAAGAGAATTCTATCATTAGCATAACATAGATTACTGGAGTATTTCACAACATTCTTCTTCACATAGTCAGCTTCTTGAATTCTTTGCTCAGTATACTGACTAAATAGAGAATGAGAAAGAATACAACTTCAATTGATTGCTTCTTGGTCTAGACAGGTTTCTTATAAGCAGAATTAAATGTTCTGGAAATTCCATTTCTCTCAAAGCCATCAATATTTATTATGATCCACACAGCCTTGACTCTAAAATGAAATCTGTTTTAACAGGGATGAGAGTAAGCTTGTAAGGGTAGGGATGAGGAACTTACCTAGAACTTAGTCATTTCCTTCTCTGATGAAGTATTGACTCAGCCTGCCTTGAAAGTTATGTGGACTATTAATCTTCCCTTTAAATTAATCTTAAAAAGAACAAAACCACAACACTAAGAGATAAAATGTTCTCAGTCCCTGTAGCACAAAGGGAATGAAAAAAAGAAAGGAAAAACTGGGTTTTCAACACTGTGTTTTCCAATAGGATATCCTAAAGGACCCTAATACGCAATTTTCATAAACCTAGGGATAACTTTTGCTAATTCCTTGCTTAGCAACAATAATTGATAACACATCTTACTCTTAATATGGAAGTAGTTTGCTTCACATCTGTGGGAGAACTCACACGCAAGTCTTGTTTGAGCTACTTGGAAGCATTTGTATTAGTGTTTTGTATTGTTTCTTTAAAAAAAAACAACACACAACTAGCTCATTCATTGATGAAAGAAAGTGTTAGAGCGTGAAGAGAAAAAGCTCAATTATGTTCAAGCCAACTTTAAAGACTCTTAAGACAGCTTTATCCCTGGCTTTACTGTGTTAATCACAACTAATAGCAGAAACTCTCATTTTGACCTTGATGTCTTGCAAACTATTATAAAATGACCACAAGTCAGTTTGAGGCCCTCTGTGTCTTTTTGTGAATGGGTTAATCTTGTTGTTGTTGTTATGTGCCATTGAGGGGCCTGCGACTCATAGCGACCCTATGTTCAAGAGCCCTAAACACCATTCTATCCTGTGCCAACCTCGCTGTCTCAAACACACTCATTCCCACCACTCCAGTCACAGAATCAATCCATCTCATTGAGGGTCTTCCTTCATGTGCCATTCCTCCACTCTCCCAAACATGATGTCCCTCTCCAAGGACCAGTCCCACCTTGCAACATGCCCAAAGTATGTCAGACAAAGCTTCAGAATCCTTGACTCCAGGGAGCATTCTGGCTTCACCCT